TCAAACATGTCATACTCTAGCCGAGCCTCGTTGGCAAGCAAGTTCTTGATGTCTGTGGAAAGACACCTCAAGAACACGGTCAACAAGACCTGTGGGTTACATTGTACGGTGGGGACGACAATGAAACGGTCTGCGGTAGACGTAAATTCGCGCACAGACTTGTACTTTTTAGCATCAAGTTTCAACAGCCCATCAATGGCAATCTGTGCCTGTTGTAGATTGTGTCATCGCGCTTCCACCAAATTCGTAAAGCTCTTTAGCGTATGGGTCTTAGCCCAGTCACCCATGTTCCTGCTCAATCCCTTTGAAACCACAAATCCATTTAACGAGTGAGTTGTTGAACCCTCTAGGCAAGATGCAACAATTATCACTTCGTCCTCTATCAGTGTCCTCTTCGCCCTTACCCGTACCGGAACGGTTCTCAACCATGTGTCGAGAACTTCCTCCTTCTTATCACCTGAGAAGGTGGAGGGTGGTTTCCATGGGGTTTGGGGGTACCATGGTTGTTGTTGTCCCAGTGGTGAGACAGGCGGCGGCTGAGGTGTAGCACCAGCCGCTGGACCAGAAGATGAAGAAGCAACAGTCTAAGATAAGGCTGATGATGAAGTACCAATTGGTAGTGATCCGGACTGAAGTAGATATGGGTATGTGATCGCCGTAAAGGCAACGACAATGACAAAGTTGTTGGCATGAATCCTGTTGTGTGCATGGTGTTCAAGATTTGGTCTAGGGTATCCTTGATCGCCTCAAGTTTGTTGTCCATGTACGCATGCATAGACATGATGCTCTCATTGACAATCTTCGTGTTGTTGTCAAGGATCGAGCCATCTAAACCCTCTAATGCAGCTTTGGCTGCCTCTGTTCCCTCAAGTCTGACACTTTTATCTCTAATTTCTTTCTCCTTATTGGTAGCATCTCGAAGTTCCTTTTCTAGCCTTAAGCGGATCCTTTCTACTTGTTGCAGCTCCATCTGCTCCCTGGTGAGTGGAGGCGGTGAGCTGGACTGCACGCCCGCCATCTGACTAGAGTCAGTTCCTGTCGTATTGGAGATGGACTGTGAACTGGTCGAGTTGGGCGGCATTTCAAACGACGGACCAGACAACGTTGCCGCAGATGTTGCTGCAGAAGTAGTCATTGCTACTGCGCTAGCCTCTGCTGCCGCTAACGTCCTCTTTACAGATGTTGCTGCTTCCCTGGCAATCTCAAGATTACAGGCCCTTGCTTCGACCTTTACCCTTCATTCTTCTCCCGGTAGCAGGATCTGGAACACTACAGGTACCCTAAGCGTGTCAAGCCTAGTCTGCCTTTTGTTGCCAGCCGTACCTTCACCACCTTCTGAGCCACTCATCGGCTAGGCAGATGTTGTTTGCACTAGAGTCCACTTTGGAACCTACCGCAACTTGCATCTGACCAGTTCTAAAAATAAACAAAAATAAAATCATGTCCAGCAAGTCACATAGGCTACCGTTCAGGCGTATCAACAACATTCACACAAACTGTACACATAATCTAAATATACTTTGATTAGTTCTCTTACAGTGGCTTCGAAGAGAATTGGCTATGGTAGAACACTACAGTTCTAATCTAGGTTGTATGTGAGGTGTTAACAGCCTGTCAACCAACTAATGAAAATAAAAATAAACTATGTGAGCAGATGTATGCACAATGAGTATAGTTGTGTTTGTCAGTTGAGTCTCAATTGAAATCTTCCTCCCCTTTATCCAACGTGCTTCTAGCCATCATCGAGCGGCAGTGTCTAAGGTGTGCATTAGTGGCCCACCCATTAGTGGCCCACCCATGTGCCCAAGGCATATGCTTATGACCAGAACTACCCGTTTTTGATCCTCGTGTGCGACGAGCCGTACGCCTGACTGATCTGGCTGAAATAGAGGCATTTTAAGGACAGCCCCCAAGGTCCTCAGGAATTAGTTATCGTCCCAATCAGGACGCCGATCACAGCCAGTGGACAGTCGAGCCCCGCCAAAAATATTTATAGACGGTCTGGATAGCGTCTGCATAGAACGTCAGTCCGCACACCCCTTCTATCAGCGCAGCAAAGAGCCTTTAAGGACAAAGCAGCATGGCCTGCGTGTACTACTCCCATGGGTTGGCATGGTGACCGTGACCCATGCTTCGACCAGGGCCCTTCAGAGGCACAGCCCTCTCCTGCCAATCCACCACCGGGAAGAATGCCCTCTTTCAAGGTAGAGCGCTCACGACTCCTCACACATAAGAGAGGACACTCAAGGTTGGACTCACTTCCTCACGGTAAGAAGAGATTGAGAGGGTAGATAAGGTAAGAGAACAACGTACCTGGAGATAGCTGCCCCCAACCACAGATTTTTCACCAATTGAGCCGACGTGCATTTCGCCACAACGCAATGCAGTGCCACCTCAACCAAAATGCCACATCAGCATGCTCTCATCATCATACATACATCCGCTGTCGCCACAGCCTTCCAGCGGCCGACCCCTCTACCTGGGTCCCGCTGAACAAGCCAGCGCCAAAGTATCCTCACTGCACAGAAGCAGTGTCAGCGCACCAAGTAACAATGTCGCCAGCGCCCAAGTAAGTGGCGATCACGAACCAGCTCCGATACCAAATTGCAAGGAATATGAGTGAGAACGATATACAGAAAGCCAAGTTGTGAAGTCACACAGATGCCCAAGTAGTCGTGTACAAGCACAGAGCGCAATCGCAACGAGATTCCATCCAAATACGAGCAATACAATGAAGTCATGAGCCAATGATCAAGCCCTCAGGCCACACCAACACAGTATCCAATGTCGCTCCTCTCTGTCTGGCGCCCAGCGCCCAGCCTACACTACTTGCCTATCCTACCTACATCAACAATCACGCAACAAGCTCACTATGACTCTTGAAGACCAATGTACATGACGTCAACACCATAGCCAACCTCCCTCATGCACCAGGTACGTATCTCGTCTCCCCTCATCAGACCCTGACCACCCCCACTCGCCTCGTTCCTGAAGACCACCGATCGCCCTCTTACCCCTAGCGCCCTGCAGCCCGGCTATGGCTGTTAGCGCTCCATTGGCCAGCAACGCCCCTCTCACCTCTCATGCACCCCGCAAGCGCCCTGGCCACAACGCAGCACGCAGCCTCTAACTCAGCAGTGCAGCAGCGTGACCGCATTGCCTGCGTGGGCCAGAATGCCAGACCCTGGCTGCCTCGCTCCCTATTGGAAGTGGCAGCCTCTGTGTGGCTGCGTGTGGCCTGGCTGGGAAACTTCCAGTAGCTTCCAGTCAGGCACCAGTCCCTGCGCCCAGGCCCAGTGCTACAGTTGAGGGCCTGGGCCCTTTACAGTTGGGCACGGCCTGAGTTTCCAGACTTGGGCCGTTTGCTGCATTTGCACGGAACCCGGGGAAAGTACGTCGACACTGCTTTTTTTGCGTAGGCCTGTAGCCACTTCGTGATGTATCGGCCCTGCATTGTGTGTGTGTGCCCAGGCGCAACTACCAAGGCCTGGGCCAAACTGTACGATGCAGCTTAGGGAGGCTCACGCTTCCATTCAACCAACTGGCGTGCTGCAACAGCCTGGGCCAAACTGTACGATGCAGCTTTGGCCTCTAGTGAATATTCAGGCCCGCCTTCACTTAGGGCGGGCACTTGGCTTGCTGAGGGCCTCTGCACGGAACATGTGCATGTTTGACAAGGGCCCCGTGAGGGCTCATTCCTCGGATTTTGTTTTTCCTTTTTATAAGAGTGCTCTTTCTGACAGTCTGCCTCCTTGCCGTGAGAGGAGGGGAGGAATCCATTCAGTCCTCAGGCATGCACTTCGTGAATGTATCTGACTGCAATTACGGCAACGCGGGGGGGTGCTGTAGAGTGAAAATGAGAAATAGACGGCCTCCTCTTTGTTCCTTCTGCTGATAGTATGTCCAGCACAGAGCACGGTACCGGTACCACCCTGAATTTTCCCAGTGGTGATATCCGTCACTTGCAGACTCGGCAAATTTCAAATTTAGGCTCCTACATTTAGCCCCGAGTGTACAGGTGGTTTAAGTCTCTCCTGAAAAATAGGAGGCCTCAAATCATTGTATGGACGGTCCATGGCCTTCAAACTTTTAGGAGACACTCAATCTGCTTTTCCGGATGTACTGGTGGTTTTAAGATCCTGCTTCAGGTTCGGCCAAGCTCATGGATTCTGCTTCTTATATTGTGTCCAAAAGAACTGCATTTGCTTGTGTGGTTTTCGACCGAATGAGCCTCTAGCTCGCCATCAATAGGTTAAAAGTGAATGGATCCCATTGTCTCGAGTATTCCATGTGGCCTCCCAAGAGAAGGGATTATGCTCCACACCATCTCCATGTTTGGGGAGCCGGTGGTTATCCACTGTGTGCCATCATAACACACACACCATTTTGGCGTGGATCTGCCACAGTAGGAAGACAGGGGAGACAGTATTCCTTTCTGATCCAGATCTAAGTGTGACACTATCCGACCTGGCATCGGCAGGCATGAACACACAACAGTCTGTAGAGGCCCGACCGATGCTTTAAGCAAGTGACACCTGATCTGCACTGACCCAAAATATACTGCTACGTTCCTCCACCCTTCTGCCTCTGTAGAGCCCCTACCGCTGCTTCAAGCAAGTGACACCTAATCTGCCCTAACCCAAAATATACTGCTGCTATTCCTCCACCCTTCTTCCTCTGTAGAGCCCCTACCGATGCTTCAAGCAAGAGCCCCTACCCAAAATATATCTGCTTCTAAGCAAATTGCCCAGGAGGCAGCTCCCTCATTTTTTCGCCATAATTTGTGGTACCCAAAATGTGCAAGAACTATTTCCATCTTATCTACACAACGACATGATAAGCTCCTATTGCATGAAGATGCCACAAAAGAAGAATCCCGAGAGAAATATCCCATAATTTGAACCAGTATTTGGAGAATTTTGGACATAAATCAAATTTCAGACTCTGAACAACTGAAAAGAACGAAAACTAATGGAACCGAAGAAGAAATGGCAGGGATGACTGTCAATAATAATTTGTTTACGGGTTGACATGTACTTTCACGCAGCTGGGACACATGCCTGCAGAGCGGTTGGTGAGACAGAAAAATGACACAGAAGACAGAAAGGGGCAGACGGTAACCAGTCACACATGCAAACTGCTGCTGTTCCTCCACCATTGTGCCTCTGTGAAGAAGGACAACCCACATTCTTCATCAGATGTGGAAGTATCATCCAAAGACGACAACCCAACTGGTGCTTCTCTCCACCCTTCTGCCTGTACGGAGAAGGACAACAGACATTCTTGATCAGTTGTGAAGTACCATCTGAAAATGACAATCATCTGCAATCATATGCCCATCTGTTTGAGACAGTGAACCCCTAGCTCATGGGAGGCCAGGCTCCGTCAGATTGTTGCATCGCCATTTTACCCCCAAGCATAACTGGAACACACACCTGTTCGAGTATTGCCTGCCACCGTGAGTTCTGTGCCAAGTGGGCCACGTATCCCATGATGACACTTGTTTGCTTTTGTCACAAAAACGATGAGAAGGTAAGAGGCAGCGGTGATCCTCCAACTCCAAGCTTCATCGTGAATACCTGAGTGGAATGTCCGGCATGACAATGACTTCAGCTATGAAAAATAAAAAACCCTCAATAGCCACAGCTGACCATTGATCGCGTCGACAGGGCTCAGCGTGGGTGAGTTAAACCCAGGAGACATCACCATTGCTGCAAATTACAAGACCCATTATGGGAGCCCTTTGATTGCCTCGCGTTTGACTTGAGGTGCCCGGGTCCTAAGCCAAGGAAAGCTTCTTCCATAAAAAACTAAGTGAGACCAGTCATTGAAGCCTTAGGCATGCTTGAAGAACTTCAAGCCTTGCATCCCTCGATCGGCAGCCTGTGGCGACCTTTGATTGCCTCACTTTTGACTTCAGGTGCCCCAGTCCTAACAAAACTACGTTAGACCTATCATTGAAGCCTTAGGCATGCTTGAAGAACTTCATGCTTAACCAGTGCAAGAAGACGGCCACGACGGTCACGGGAATGGTCAGAGGAATGAGAAGACAGTAATACCTGCATAGTTTGCAAACCAAGCACAGGAGACACCATCACCACACCCCATGACAACCCCAATCCACATCCCACTACCACAAGATGTCATCAGATCGCGCAGCAGGGAACCTTATACCCGCACGGGTTCAAGAGAACATGCTAAAACAAGGAGACTGAACCACAGCTCCCATACATACAACATATACATGAACGAATGCCTTCATACATATAGTTCAGACAAGAGAACTTACTTAACAACAACTTGACAGCATTGCCAAAATGAAAGCTTGTTATATGACAACTGAAGAACAAGATGAGACGGAACATAGCCACAAGCAGGGTCACCAGCCCGTACGTACGGAGGTCCCCAGGCCGACCTCCGTACGTACGGGCCGACCTTCGTACGTACAGGCCAACCTCCGTACGTACGGGCCTTTGGGGGTCCCGTTCGGGGTCCGAACCCGAAGGCGTTCGGCCCCCGCCAAAAATTATTTCAGGGCCTAAAAATAAGTTTTTTTCTGATTTTTTTTTTTTTGCGAGTTCTTTATGATGTGAGGCACATCATCCGTACATGCCTATAAATTTTGAAGTCATTTTGCCAAGCCAAACAAAAATTAAAAATTGCCAAAGATGGCGGTGTCAAAACGTGCTCGCCCACTCACTATTTTTTAAATTATTTTTTTACTTTTTGTTTTCACTTTATTGCGGAACCTAAACAATTTTATTATTTTCTGAAACTTTTTTAATGAGTTTTGTACAGGGCTGAATTTCCGGTCCTGCCGGGGGGTCCTTTCCCCACCGGAACCAGGCCGGTGGCACCGGCCGGTGGACCGTGCCGGTTCCCCCCCCTTAGGAAATTGCGCCGACGGGTGGCGGCCAATTTCGAATTTTTTCAGGGGCCGCGAGGCCTCCCTGCGGGTCGTGGAGGTCTCCCGGCCCCAAAAAAAAAATGAACCGGGTCCAGTAGGCCCGCCAGAATCTTGAAAAACTGGCGGCCTATCTGGGCCGTCGATCTGATGAGATCAGCGGCACAGATAGGCCGCCAGTTCTTGAACATTCAGGCGGGAAACCACCCGAAGTTCAACTGGCCAGCGTCGGCCCCCGCAACCCCGTGTGAAGCCTTCCTCGTCACTTCGACACTTCGTCGCAGTGACGAGTGCGGGAAACCACCCGACTTTCGACTGCGCCCCTCGTCACGTCGGGCACGGCACGCCATCGCCTCCCCTCCCCCCGTCGTTCACCGGTCAAGGTAAGTGGTTGTACCTTTCTTCTTCTTCTTCTTCTTCTTCTTCTCCTTCTTCTCCTTCTTCTTCCGTTTCTACTTCTTCTTCTTCTTCTTCTTCTTCTTCTTCTTCTTCTTCTTCTTCTTCCTCCCCCCTTCTTCTTCTTCTTCTTCTTCTTCTTTTTTTGGCATAGCCGAAGTTTCCGACACCCGAAATTTCCGACGCCCGAAGAGAGAGAGAGAGAGAGAGAGAGAGAGAGAGAGAGAGAGAGAGAGAGAGAGAGAGTTCGAACTCGGTCGCAGCACCTTTTTTCATTGATATTTGAAAAGCTTCCATATTGTGACTTCGACATTGGCGGGCTGAAGATAGAGAGTTCGAACTCTGGGCGCAGTGCGCACGCGCGCACACGCGCGCGCGAGAGAGAGAGAGAGAGGTGGGCTTGGGGAGAGAGGGTTGTGGGCGCGCGCGTTATTAGTGGGCGCGCGTTTGATTAGTGGGCGCTCGCGTTATAGGTGGGAGCGCGCTTGAGTAGTGGGCGCGTGCAAGATAGGGGGAGGGAGGGAAAGAGAGAGAGAGGGAGAGAGAGAGACAGAGAGAGAGAGAGAGAGAGAGAGAGAGAGAGAGAGAGAGAGAGAGAGAGAGAGAAGTGGGCTTAGCCCCCGGCCACCAAAGCAGCTGCAGCTGCCC